GCTCAAGTAAAAATGATGAATGCTCAGCAATCTCAATAGAAATATATGAATAGACAAAGAGACTCAGCTTCAAGCTTTTAACCTGGAGATAAGATTTGATTGAGCTTAAAGAACATGAGAACTAATCATCTGTGCAAGAAGCTGAATGCAAAATACAATCAATATACTGTGCTAGAAAAGATATGATTTCATACTTACTGACTGAACATCTCATCTGGCATTCACAATGTCTTTAATGTAAAGCTTTTACATGCTGCAGCAACAGATTCTCTGTCTAGTCAGAAGCAAACTGACTGACAGTCACTCACTATAGAGATTCTGAAAGGACCTGAGTTTGAGATTGAGGAAATTTGAGATGAACAAATCTATCAGAGAAAAAAGCAATATCTTGTTAAATGAGTAGATTGAGCTGAGTCTACATGAAATGACATGAGTCTTCTACAAGAAGCAAAGACCTTGAACACTTGAGAGGCCTCTCAGCAGGCAAAATTAGATGTAAAGAGGACTTTAAATAGTTGTAAAGGCCTGCAACAAAGAGGGAGAAGGAGGATATTATAAGAAATTGAACCTCTAGATTTGCTCTGACTGGCTGACTCAGCCTAGTCATAGTTTGCACATGTGCACGTGATCATGCTACGCGAGCTTGCTTAAGCTCGAGTTCTCATCTCATTCTTTTCTTCCCTTTCTCAAGCAATTCGTCCTTGTTATATAGGAGGACTAGCCTCTAGTTCTTAGAGCTTAACCCTTTACAGATACATATCATGACTATGTAACCCATTCACCATGTAGAGAAAGGCCTGTTCAGTTATATGACTGCCTATATCAATTCAAATGTCAGTCATTATGTTTATGGAGAGTCCCATGAAGTCTTCAAAGCCAGTCATTTTAACAGGAGGAATTTCAATGCACAGAAGCTTATGCTTGTTAATGTAGAATTGAGAAATAAGATCATAGATATTACATCCACTGTCTATCATTGATCTAGTCAAAAAGGCATTATCTACTAGAGCATCAACAGTGAAGAGTTTGAATATCATCTTAGATTTAAATCTTCTTCATTGCTTCTTCATAAGCTTCTTATTTTACTCCTTTCAGTATCTTTTGATTGAAGCTACTCTTTTTCTGAATTCTCACTCATATTTATATCATCATCATTCAATACTGGCTTGGAGATCATATTAGCTATTGTGAAGGTGGCAAAATGTCTGAGAGATTTGAACAGACAGCTCTTAATCATATGATCTTCAGCTCTATATCTCAGGCACAGGCCTTGCTCTCTTCATTGATTAATCTCTGTCTGATTTATCAATTTGATGTGATGAATGCTTGAGATCACAGCACCAGGAGAGAGATTCATCAGATCATCAGTAGAAGCTTGAGACCAGTTTCATCAATCATGAATAGCATGATAAAGTAGAGAGTATGAATTAGATGTTGTATGATCTGAAGAAGATCTGCTCTGATGTTTAGATCACTGTTCAGAGAGTTGATGATCAACTAATTATAAGCTTCTTATAGTAATTCTTATAGAGAGACAGTTCTCTTATGCCCATCATGCCTTCCTTTAGCTCTATGCTTAGAGTAGATTTCAAATACTTCTTTTTAATGTGATCATCTCATCTGTGATCATCAGCTTCCAGCAGTAGCTGATTAAATTCAGGCAGAAAGTCAAGAAGAGCTCTTCTACTCTGTTATAAATTGTTGAGCTTTTGCATAGTTTTTTTTGTCATGCAGAATCACTAAAGAGCATATATATCTGCTTCAGTAAGCTCTCTACTGTGAAGTTGATCTTGTTCTTATTATTCTCAACTCAGGAGTAAACTTGAACTGCTGCCATTTCTTCCAGTCTTGAGTATACATATCAAGTACATTTCTCATTATTATTTAAATTTTTTCTATTGATCTTAAGTTTTGATTGAAGCTTTAGCTCTCACTGAGAGTAGTGCTTCAGATTAGAATCATCATACTTCTCACAGTTCAGTAGCTTGGTCTTTGATCTTCTGACTGCAATGAATGGTTGCAGGTTCAATTGAGAGAGAATTGATGTTGAAGTGTTCAAAGCTTGTTATAGATTAACTATTTCAGCTTGCTGAGCTGCTATTAAATTTCTGTTCTCACACTGAATCTGTTCCTGCTGTTGAAGAAAGATCATTCATTGTTGTTCAAAGCTGCTGAGGGTGTCTCTGCTTATTACTTTGTGTTGATTCATTTGTGTATTTGTTGTACAAGTCTGCCACTTTATCTCATTCAGCTAGATATTTTCAATATTACTTGTTCATTTGTTAGCACAATTGCTAATCTTATCTATTCATATACCAGTGCTATCACTGAACTTCATGATCTAGAATTTAAAACTCTCAATATTCTATCATATGTCAGCATGTTTGCTAAGCTTCATAATATAGAATTAAGACTCTTAGTGATCTATCAATGAAAGAAGTGAAGTAATTCATAATATAGAGAATTAAGCTCTAAGAACTAGAGGCTAGTTCTACTATATAACAAAGATGAATTGCTTGAGAAAGGGAAGAAAAGAATGAGATGAGAACATGAGCTTAAGTGAGCTTGTATAGCATGATTATGTGTGCACATGCAAATGATGACTAGGCTGAGTCAGCCAGTCAGAGTGAATCTAGAGGTTCAGCCTCTTATAGATCAGACTTTTTAATTACTTCTAATATATTAGCAGTATTCTCATAGATTTAAAATAAAAATTAACAAAGATTTTTATATGTTTTTTATTTAAAAAATCTACTTTAAAAAGAGTAAAAAAGTTACCATTATTAGTATTATATCATAGCTTTAATTTAGATGTAGATGAACAGATATTGAATTGTCAACTTGATAAACTATCTGAGTGAATACTAAGATAATTTCTAAAAAATAAATTTAGAGAAAGCTTTATTTATATATTTCTTTTCTTAGTACTTTTTTTAGTGTAGTTGTCATGTGATTATCATATTTATATGTTATTCATGTGTGGAGTTGGTTGCTATGTCAATGCCTAGATAGTTTGTGATTATCATGTCTAGATTGTTGCAATTACCATTTACCTTAGTCTTATACTATTGAGAAGGTTATGAAGCTCATTCTATATCATTACAGATGATAATTGACTACATTAATTTTTATAATCATTTATATTATAGCAGTATTATAATTAGAGCTTAATCAGCTTTTATATGTTTTTATTTATTTTTAAAATTATCTTAATAAATTAATAATAAATTTTTTTTATTATTTATTTTTTATAATTTTTAAATATAAGTAGTTTTTTTTTTCTTTTTTAAATAATTTATTAATAAAATATATATTAAAGACTAGTTTTTTTTAAAAAATATAATTTATTATAATTTATATTTTAATAATTAATTTTTAATTATATTATATAATATTAAATAAATAAATTATTTAAATAAATTACTGATTTAAAATATTTTTTTATCTAACTATTTATTTATTTTAATATGTATAATTATATTATTAATTTATAATAAAAATATTTTAAATTCTTTTAAATGATAAAAAGACTTAAATTTATAGTAAATATTTTTAAAAAAATAAAAAATATTCTTAATTAATAAAGTTATATATATATTTAATATATTATTTTTTATTCTAAATTATTAACTCAATAACTAAACTGTTCATATAAATCTATATATAAATTAATTAAATTAACTCAAATTGAAGAGTATAAGTTAGTTGAACTAAAATTATATCAAGTTAAATAAAATTTCTTTCACAGTCAATATTTATTGAGAATATAATTAATTATCTTCTTATTATATGAAATTTTACTATCTTTATTACTATTCTTCTTTATGTTAGCAAGAACTAAATGTCAAATCTAATAAATTTAATGCCATATTGTTCAAAGCTTCAAACTCAGTACTTTAGATGCTATAATCATAACTGAGTAAAATATATAAATATAAAAATTATTCAGACTTAAGAATCTTGAAGACTGTAATTGCTAAGCATGAGATTCTCTCAGATGTGACAGCGCTATGACGGCGCTATGACAGTGTATAGCTACTGAGCTGCGGAAGCTGACATTGTCCAAAAAAAGTAATAGCAACAGCATGGCAACCGCTGGTGGGAAAGAGGTATATAAGGAGAGGCTTCTCCAGGCCCCTGTTTCATAGAGCACCTTAGCATTTTGGTTGAAATAGCTTACTCAGCTGGCAATCGAACATTTGTTTATCTGCGTCTAGATTGAAGTCATAACATCAGGGAATATAAACAACTTTGATAAGATTGACTTTGCAATGAGACTTTGCACTTTACTAAAATTATTATTAGTAACTAACTAACTAATCAGTGCACTAGTGCTACAGCTGAGTAAAGCTTCTACATTTTAAAAATCAGAAATAAGTAACTGTATTTAAATTAGTCAATATGTCAGAATAAACTCTATCTTTATATATTCAATGCAAATGAAATAAAGACGTAAAAGTGAAATAGATCTAAATGATAAATTAAACATACAGAAGATCTAACTGAAAATAAAGTTCAGAATCTTATTATTTCATCTACTGCATCTATTAAACAGACAGTTATCAACTATATGAGTTTTCATCATTTGAGTTTACATTATATTAATACAACTATATAAATTTTCATCATTTAAGTCTGCATTATGTTAATAAGCTTCATAACACTGCAGCAATTGCAGCACTCTCAGACATACAAGAATAAAATGTCCTCAACCTAGTGTAATTTAATTTAATTGAGTGTTGTGGCATTGAATTTGATTTGAAATCTAATCAGTTGGAATATAGTGATTTTGTGATCTGTTCACTTGGATGATCCGCTCGCTTAGGAATTATGTTAGTTGTTAATCTCGTGTCATGATTGCTGCAGGTTGCATGATGCCCAGTCTAACAATGAGATTAATTTTTGACAGATTTTTAACTGGAAAAAGAAAGAAATAAATAAATAAATAAAATAAAAAATACAAAAAGGTCAGACATTAAATATCCCCTGCAACACTCAGGATGGCACGTTTCATATATAGCCTTTTCATCAGGTGCCAAAACGTACACATGAACAGCAGACTTGGCTCCTGCCAGGCTACGAAAACATTCAAGGGAACTGTCATTCAAGCTTCAACCACGGAATATAATTCTCCATGCGCCATCCTACTCAAGTTCTACTACTATATGTACCAGACGACTAACAATTCGCTCGACGACAAGAGGAAATGTGAAGACAGAAAGCCACGTACCTCGCATATTCAGAGTGGATGTGAACTGCCATCAGTTCTCTTACATCTACCATCCCTCTACATACATGCCATTCGTGAAGTGATTGGTAACGACATGGACAAGATCATGGTTTTCGAATGGATGGATACTGACCTGTGGTCATTGCGGGACCGGGCAAGAGAGCTAGTCCAACCTTTTCTAAAGGTCGCGGCAAAGTCTATGCTTGAAGCTGCCAATGGGCAAGATCCAATTGTTCATACAGGAAGGGACAATAGTGCTGTTACCATCAATTGGCCTAGCTCTATTGCCGCTGACACTCATCCACCAGGTTAATTACTCGAGCATGAGTATATGCTGACTGTTTCCGAGTAATTCGTTCTGAGGGCTTTGATAAATTGCGAACCAGAGCTTAGCTATTCGTGCGCCAGATATAGGGAATGGAGTACTGCCTGCTTCTTCATGCGATGTGTTGTCTTTTGGCGTAACTATGAACTCAACAACAAATATCACTCTTTCGCCAAACTCCCACTAATCTTCGATAAATAGCTTGTACACTTCTTGGCAGGTTGGGCCTTCTTTGGGCCTGTCAACCAGCATTCTCATGCTGATAGTTTTACCCAGGGAAGTAAAACCAAGCTGCCTGGGACATTGCCAAAATAATACAGCTTGTGGGCCCTCTGGAACGCATTGAGGGTTCAAAGTGCACACTAGAGTTTGAGCTGGCTGAAGTCTTGGTAGAGCGAGGAATCATGAAAATGTGCCGCAGTCTTAAGGAGGAGCTTGCCCAAGTTATTATGCCAGCTGATTCCATCGATTTTATTCAGCACTTTCCGACGACCCTGATCATAAGAAACGGCAAACAGTAGAGGATGCATTGCGACATCCGTAGCCTCTGGGTCTGGGTTGAGGCAGTATCAGAGCCCATCTTAGCGGGTTTACTCCTGAATTATGATACCCCACAATTTAATTTATGGTTCTGCCCACACTTCTCAGAAGGTTTATTGCAGCGAATTAAGTCTCCCTTCAACACCTTCTCAGAGTTCTCACTGAATCACTTAAGACATTTGCACCGAATCCCTGATAAACTCATGGCCTAGAATCTTCAGTTGAGACCCTTGCCAACTAGAACTCCGGTCACCAAGTCATGAAATAATCAATTGGTTACCAAACAAGAACAGGCTTGACCGTGAGGCCGTCAGCCATCTCCTCCAATGCCAGCTGAAAATCCTCAACTTCGAACTTTTTAACCAATTTTTCCAATGGTAACTTTCCTTCTCGGTACCACTGGATCATCTGTGGTATATACTCTCTCGACACCGTATCCCCTTCAATCGTCCCCGTAATGCTTTTCCCACTTACAATCAGAGATGCAAGGGGAACGCTCAATTCTGTCCCTGGAGCTGGACTTCCTATCTGTATATAGTGACCTCGGGGCGCCGTAAAAGCAATTCCAGCTTCAATAAGGGGTAGGACACCTGTCGTATCAATGGTGATCGTCGTTCCAAGACGCCCATCTGTCTGGTCGAATACACACTGTATGAGCTTCTGCATGTCGCCGCCTGTAGCTGTCGTATTGATGACATGAGTCGCTCCAAGTTCCTGCGCCAGTTGCGTACGATTTTCAACCCTATCAATGCCGATGATAACCTTACAACCCCTTATCTTTGCAGCCATGATTACACTGAGGCCCACCCCACCAAGGCCCATGACAGCAATAGCATCTCCTGGACCGGCATTGGCGACGTTGGTAATTGATCCGCTTCCAGTTTGTACGCCGCATCCCAGCGGCGCGAAGAGTATTAATTCGTCCGAGGAGTGGACGAGACCGCTCACATTGACAATGGAGCTCTCCGCGGTGATGGTGAGGTTGGAGAAACTGGATTGACCGAAGAAGGAGCCGCGTATGGATGGTTCTTGTTGACCTGACGAAGAGACGGAAAAGTCCATCGATCCAACGAAGTTGAGTTCGCTGAACCGTGTGCAGTGTGCCGGATGCTCGCTTGAGCATAGGCCACATGCCCTGCACGATGCGAAGGAGAGAATAACGGGGTCTCCCCTCTTTGCGACAGTGACTCCTGCTCCGATATCTTCGACATATCCAGCTCCTAATTGAAGTCAGTGGTATGTTTATAGCACATGGATTCATCCGAGCCGTGTCATAAATTAAATGTCAAAAATCAAAATCACAGGCGTCATACCTTCATGGCCCAGGATCCTAGGATACCCTCCAAATACATGCCCCACCTCCGAAATAAGCAGGTCTGTATGGCAAATTCCTGTCGCCACAACTCTTACTAGTAATTCCGTTTTCGCAAGCGGGCGAAGTGATATATTTTCCACCTTCCACGGAGTCGATTTTGCCGGACCGCGAGTCACAATGGCGCGGGTAATAGCCGTTGAATTTGCCATTTTTATTAATTTATTTTCGTGGCTAAATGTCTCAATAGCTTTGGGAGGGGAATCTTGAAAAATTAAAGGGGGCTCGATTATAAGTTTTAGTTAAAGTGGCAGATGGGAACCGCGAACCGGGTAAACAAACAACTATTTTATATAGTTCCCTACACATATCGTTCAGACTGAAAACAAACTTGTCAACCAAAATGCAGAAACACATCGGACAATAAATACGGACACAAACGCAGTCAGCTGATGAATCGAGAGCCCACCGAGATCCAGGTAAAGCGGGGACGGAGACAAAATCCTCTATCTGTCACTCTTATTTCCGGGGGGATGAAGCACTCTGCGACAGACTTGCCGGGCCACTTCGGAGTGCCTAGGCACTAGTTCACGGAGACAGACTTGCTGCTCAGCTTTCAAGCTGGCTATCGGTGGCGGCCGTTGGCTGTCTTCCTAAATAGGCGAGGTCAACTTGGTGGGGGTGCTGATTCAAGCAAAGCAAGGTATACCGACTGAAGTCCTGTGCTGTATATCCAGTGCGATTCTTCGTAGAGTAGTTACTTGATAGTCATTATAACTAAGAATAGGGTTAATAGAGTTTAAGTATGACCTCGTTATGTCAATCTTATCAAGCTGCTTATGATTAAATATGAGAACGAACAGAATTGAAAAGAACCCCTGGTGTCTTCAGGCTTGGAGCTCGCAGGGTTAAGTAGTCGGGTAGTTAGGTCTCTCAAATGAGAATCACCAATGATTTCGTCGCGACATCGGTATGTCTGGCCCCGATGTCTTGCGCAGTCCTGTTTGCTTAATAGCTTAGCACTGTTGTCCACCCTTGCAACGACATTTTTTAACCCAATCTTTAAACCAGACCCACTCCCCGAGCTCCACACTCTGTGCCATTTGATGAAGCGGAATGCTGCTGTGCTTAGTTTTACGCGTCGTCGGAAAGGAGACCAAGTTCATGATACCAGACTTGAGGCGGGAAGTCAAGACTCGGCAGTCTAGCGGGTAAAAGCCATCATTGCAGAGTTATCACGTCTGCCGTCTTTCTTCCGTAGTGGATCGATAGAAAGAAAAGCTGGAAAGCATCGTTCGGATTTCCCACCAGGAGTGACTACAGACACAAAGAGCTGCTTTGGCGTGATTTGATAACCCGGTTTGTAGCTGAAACGGTAGATGGGATCATGCACCATAACACATGCAAAGTACAGTTAGTAAAAGGAGTAGATGAGTTCATGTCCATGCCGCTCACAGATTTCTGAGCTTTTCGCAGAGACGTTAAGGGGCTTTAACCGAGTCAAATGTTAAGATGCATCGCTTTTAGAATCAAAAAGCATATATTTCAGAAACAAGATGAAGTGTTCAGGAACAGGATAAGCATTTGCTGGTGCGAACAACAAGACCTTAACTAAATAATCGTACCGAATCCAGAATCAGCACATCTCTCACAACTGGAAAATTAAACTGGAAATATACAGATAACGGAATATATGTATTCATTGTGTTTAGGGCTTTTGTGCAACATTTCTAACTCATTTTGAGCTTTGTACCGTTGACCATAGTTTCCCGATCCTGGATCAAGTGCTAAGTCACTCCTCCTAGTCATCAGAGCTATTAGAGTAGGGCATGAGGGGGCCACTGCTCTGCCTCTTTCAAACTCACGGATGTGCATCCTGCGTAGAAATGCAAACCACTGCGATCAGCGCCGTGAAATCGGGCAAGAGGCAAAGAGAAATCATAGAAAATCACAAGAGGATAGCAGGCAATCTTCACTATAGTGTATATGGAGAGAGGAGCCGAAATATAAATAAAAGTCAGTTCATATTTATCCCACTTTTCTTGAGGGAGGTTTTCTCCTTTTGATAATTTTCTTTTCTTTTCTTTTTTGTCCCTTCGCAAAATAAATAAGTGTGTGTCCCTCCCTTTTCAGCTAAACACACGGGGCTGTAGACGACAAGGCCTAACAGATCCCAAAAAGCCGCATCCCCAGATACAAACCTTCATAAGGTAAAAGCTTCCCAAAGCATCGAAGAGTCCTTGAACGTCCAGTTGACCGATGATCGTTGACCGTAACAGGTGACAATTTTCCAGATAGTAACTCTACCGGCAATGTGAACAAAAAGGACAAGAGAATTGCAGCCAAACGACAGTACCCCTGATATTAGATGGTGGTATTTGGCTGAAAGGACAAAACAACACACGAGATATAAAAAAGGAAAAGGAGAAGTAGGAAAGCAAAACACATCTAAGCCACCTCTTCAATCTTAGGCTCTGACTCAGCGTTACCTACTTCTTCTTCTTCTTCTTCTTCTTCTTCCAGTCCGGGCATATCATCGACCTGACAGAGTATATGTTTAGTAATTAAGTATTTTTAGCCTGTCTAGGGGAAAGGAGAAGGGTATGTTGCATACCGATCCCTCCCCGTCCTCGTTTTCGCCATCTGCTCCGCCGGCCATTCCACCCAAACCTGGCATTCCACCCATTCCACCAGCACCCAGTTTCGAGAAGTCAATAGCGCCAAGACCTTCATCGCCCATGCCGCCGAAGTTGCTGTAGTCGTCCTCGTTTACGGTGTCTTGCTCGTCCTCATCAACCCACTGAACGCACGGGAATAGAAGGTAGTTAGACACATAATAAAATCACACGAAGGGTGTGTCAACAAAGAGCAGACTGACCTTATCGAAATCCGTCTTGAGGAAATGAGCTTTCTTGGCATCCTTCAAGAAACGAGGCCAGTATTCCGCATTGAGCTCCTTCTTTCTTAGCACGAGATCGACGCCGCGCGGAGAGTGATGTGATTTCGAGTTGTCGACGTCGATTTCACCGTACAGCTCGAGGTCGACCTTGTAGTCGACCTTCTTGGTGTCTGAGTGGCCCAAGAAGGATATGGAGGTGGGGGTGAGGGAGAGCTTTGCAGAGAAAGGGGGAACATCGGGGACACTAAGGTGGACGTAGAGGATATTCTTTTCGGGGTCCGTGCTTGATGAGCGCTGGGCCCAGAGGACTGTGTACCAAGTCAAGAGAAGATAGGATTAGCTATTCTCCGTACAGCAATTCATATAGAGGCATGTTTATCAGATTGGACGCATATTGTGACCCCCCACGCTCTCTTTGGAAGCTCGGAAAAGCATGAGTACCAGCTAGCTAGCTCCTGGAAGAGAGGGTGAGGGAGGGTAAAAAGATGGGGAAGAGGGGTAGGAAACTATTGACATACCTTCGGGTGTCTGAGTGGCAGCCATTGTGAGAGAACAAGATTGGTTTGTGGCAGATTGCTGGTGAGAGAGCGAAGGGGGAGGGGGGGGGGGGGGGGGGGGTTTCAGCGCAGATATAAGATACAAATGAGCAGATGTGCAGATGGGTGTAAAGGTATACACTGGCTGGGAGAGAGAAGATGCTGACAGTGGATGTTGGATGTTGGATGTTGGACGTTGGGTGTTTGATGGGCGAATGGTTATGTCCTCTTGCGCTGCCTTTTGTGTGGCGCTTGGCTGGGTCTGTGTTTGGAAAGTACTGGAACCCCCTAGATAGCAGTCACGTGAGTTGGCTCTGTTTGCAGTCTGACTAAGCAGCTTGCGGGGGTGTGAACCAACTCGATGATGTCGACGCTTGCAAGCGAGAAAATGATTCGAAGACTTCGTTATATTGAATGTATGAGTAACTAGGTACCTGTGCACCATGACGGTAGATTGGATGGTATCCATTTATATGAAACGGTGATACTATTCTGATAATCGGTACGTTATAATTCCGTCCGCCATTGCAAGACTGTGCTTATTTCCCCGCCGCAGCAGTCCTATCTCTTTGTCCTCACATATTTCACTGAAACCTTCAACAACACCCGTTATCCCCTTACAGTGCAACAACAAGCGGCTATATCTGTACTAGTAGAAGGAAGGCATCCATGAATATCCTTTCTCACTCCTTACGAAGTTGCCCGTGAACCAAGACACACAAGTCTCCAGGCCGTACGGCCAACCCCCTCCTCACCCCCACTGTCTCTAATGGAGTCTCTCAAAGCAGTGTTTTTCGGGCCGGACCCCGCTGCGCAGGTATGTGACTCTCATGCTATTATGCTCTTATATTCCTATGCTCCTATGCTCCTATCCACAGGCAGATGGTAAAAAACAACCCGGCTCTAACTACACTCTTCAAAAATACATGTTATAGATGAGAAAATGCAATAGCCTCATCCGAAGCAATGCGCGAAAGCTAGACAGGGACATTGCCCAGCTCAAAGCTCTCGAGGCCAAGACGAAACAATACATCGTGGCTGCGTCGCGACGGGCAGAGCGCAACCCATCTCAGGCGGCACAGGCAGCGAAGGAGACCCGCACATTTGCCAGGGAGATGGTGCGGATCAGAAAACAGAGCAGCCGGCTGATGACGAGCAAGGCTCAGCTGGAAAGTGTGAAGATGCAGGTTGACGAGGCCTTTTCCGTGCGCAAGATTGAGGGGAGTCTTCGGGCGTCGACGGGGATCATGAAGAATGTCAACCATCTTGTCCGGTTGCCTGAGCTTACGGCGACGATGCAACAGTTAAGTACGTTACTTAGCTCCTTTATAATTTTGCTTCCCCCCTCCCCAAAAAAAAATAAAAATAAAAATAAAAATAAAAATAAAAAAACCATTTGTACATGTTCCTACGTATGCTATGCTAACCTTCAATTATCTAGGTATGGAACTGGTAAAGGCGGGGATAATCGAGGAACTGGTCGACGATATGATTCCCCAAGACCAGCTGCTAGAGGGAGAAGAGGAAGAGGCCGAGTCCG